TTGCCTTCATCATGTAATAGTAATTAAAATCAACAATAATTCTTGATTTTACTAGGTTTTTAAAAACTACTACAATGTTTTTACCGTTCCTCTTTTCTATTTCATTTTTTTCTTGTAATATAAGCTGATTTTGCTTGACCAATGATAAAATTCAATAATTGACATTTATATTTGTGTTGTCTTTTGTATTTAAAACCTAATATAAACATTGTTTTGTAAATAAAAAGCCAAGTAAAAAACTAAAGCATTTAAAAGATCAAACAGAGGAGCAAGTCTTTTACAATACATAAAACAGTGAAAAATTGTTTCCCTTTTTAAACAAAACGGACATTGATCACTCTGACTAGAATTTATTTTAGTCACAAATGCATTAAAAGCTATAGCACCGTGTAAAACTTTCCACTGCAAATCCCCTGATCTTTTATTCAATGTTGGTTTATATAATATTCTTCATTCTGGTTTTTCTTCTTCTGCTAAACACAGTTTATCTTTTCACACCATGTCATATCTCTCTTTTAAAGTAAACTGTAAAAAAAATAATCCGTAAAATTTACGGTAAAAAAACGGCAGCTATGGTTGCAACCTTACCGTTAAAAACACGGTACAAACCATAAAAGTAATTTCTCGTTTCTACGGTAAACTACCGTATTTTTATAAATTTATAGAGGTAATATGTCTGTATTTTGAATGACCAACTTTTACACATCTTTTGTTACACAGTTACCGTAGACACGTTAGCACACCCACATGCTGATGGTGAGGACGAGGAAGTTACATAGTGAGCCAATGCTCATCACCATCAACTTTTCCCACAAGCAGAAATGAGTATCAGCATAGAGAAGGTACTCATATTATTATTTAGTATCACAATATTTTTATAAAGCACTTTCCCTTTAACTGTACTAAAATCAACATTCCCATTTTCCTTAAAACATAACAATGGACTATTAATCCCAGAATTTTCAATGTTAGGTGTAATTCTAATGTCTGGGAAATAATCTTGATCATTAGGGAAAATAATACCTTGACTGTAATCTTCAAGTAAAGTTTTTTCTTTTTCATTTAAAAGAACTTTCAGTTTAGTCCTGGGGTATCATCTTTTGTCACATCAAGGCGACTGCCAAGAAGTACTGGTTCTTCAAGCAGCCAGAAAAGAGATGTTGTTGAATCTGCCCACGAATGTTTAAAAAGTCCCCATACTTTTAAAAAACTTTTGTAGAAAGAAGGTATTCCAGTCAGATCTAGATGCACATTATCTGTCAAGAAAAGTGACGCATGAAGATTCAAGCCATTTATTCCACGTAGGATGCATTGAGCTAAAGGTGTCCACACGAGACTGTCAGGCCCATACAACAACTTCTGAATGAATTGTAGTCTATATGTATATGCATTGTTGCAGTGAAGAATACATTTGTTTTTGTTTTTTAAAATTTTCCACACAGAACACAGAAAAAAATTCTTTATAATTTTCATCATTTAAAAGTGATGTATTAAAGTGCCAGTATGCACTTTTTACTTTCACAGAATTGACAAAAATCTTACAAATAACCGAACAGTGGTCAGAAAACCCAACAGGAATTATACGACAATCTTTGACATAATTTACTTGAAACTTAAACAAATAGAACCTGTCAAGTCTTGCCATAGAAATTTGATTATCTTTGCTATGTACCCAAGTATATTGTCTAT